TAGAAAGCAATCCAGAAATGAGACTTTGAAAAAAAAAAAAAAAAAAAAAAAAAAAAAAAAAAAAAAAAAGAACATGTGATTTAGATGCATTTCCAGCCGTTGGGGAAAATAAGGTGATGCAAAGCACAATGTGGCTGCGGTAAACAGAAAGTACAGTAAGCAAATAATTACAGATCCCAGATCAGGAACGGAACAAGGTTTTAACAATTGTGTTTCAATTAGGCAAATTTTACTTAATTTATTTAGTTAGCTCGTATTAGCTAATGTTTCATGCCATCCGGGGACGTCGAGAGAGAAATATGAACCTAACGCTGCCTTCAACAGCTAATCACTCATGCGAGGTAAATATTTACTACTTTAGAACTTATAAGAAAAATGTTTTTTCATCTCATAAAATTTACAAAAAAAGTCAAAGACCGTCTCAAGCAAGTGTAAAAACCTTTTTGCTGAAATCAATTAAGTTTATTCCAAGTTTATTTAAATTCCACATTTTTTTTGCCATTTTTGTCAAGCTCTATTAATAAAATACTTCAAAATCCACAAATAAAAGGTTGATGGTAACACGCATTATTGAAAGCCATGGAAATTAATCGGAAAAGATCCTTTATAGCTCCAATAATAAATAACATCAGTCTAAACAGGCCTAAATGCTAAAACCCATAAATGAATTCCAGCATATGAAGTCAGTTTAACATATATAACCACAAACATGTAACTTTAGGAGTCTAGTCAACCACTAACTGGAGGCTATCCTACATGAACAGCGAAATCTGACAGACAGAGGACATGTGCTATATCATACATAATACAACATTTCCCGGTTTAACATGAATACACTGGTATGCAAGAGTCCATATAAAAACAATCTATTTCAAAAACCAGATAATCCTGAGAAGGTTTCTGGTTTGCTATAACAGAAATACCAGAAACTGTGTCTCTGTTAATTTTGACAATAACCTGTAAAGTAGGAGGCAGCACCCAACAGCTGGGATGTGTTTAGACCAAGACAGAATTAAGAGTGTGCAGATAAGCTCCTGCTGGCATTAAGTGCTGAGTAGTCCACACTATGACATATTTGAGGCTCTTGGGCAGGGCAGGACTAACAGGGTCACATGTCCCCATTTAGCCAAGTTGACAACATAAGTAGATTTATCGTCTTGATTCCTCCCATGCTACATAGTTAAGTTAGCCTTCCTCTACCTGTATAATACCTACCCTAACCGATTTTAGATTCCAACACTGCATGTCAAAGCATATATTGCTTGCCTGCCCATGCTGAGAAAAGGTATAACGCTGCTCACACTATATTTTGTCATTAGGAGGGTGCCATTCATTGGTTCTGGGAAACAGAACCTTCTTTGACGCCTCTGGATAGATTGTTGAAGTTTTTATCTAACAATGGGTATTAACAGATTCTGCCACTGTTCGCTAATGTTCTCTAACAAACCTCTAGAACCTTCAGAGGGCAGCTGCCTTTAACTGACATTAATTGACATACATGTTAGCTTCATTTAACAATAAGGTGACATCTTTCAGAGAAGGGTGTCTAAAGTACAGCCTGCAGGGAATTTGGATTAGTTCTGTGCTGCTCCAATAATTGTACAATTCTGCCCACCAGCATTTAGTTGAAACAGACAGCATCTGAAAATGTTGATATGATCCATTCACTGTCAAACTGAAATTGACAATGTTATACAATAAAAAGTATTTGCCGTTAATCAATCATGATTTTTTTTTTTTTTTTCAATTTCACATTAGCTAAGACAACAACCATCCAATGACAGAGAGGGAGAACAGAAAAGAATATGGGTATAATTAATCCAAGATTTGGGGGGAAATCCTATGATATTTTGATAAAAAGGGAAAATGTGAGACAATTATGAATTTGTTTAATTCAACTGTTTGTCCAAAAGAGAGGAAAAATCTAATTTTAAATAATCTTAGAAATAATCAACTTTTCATTCTTAAAATTTTCATGGGTAATTTACTTGTTGATATCAATACATCAGAAAGCTGAAACCAGCTGGAACACCTGAGTGAACACAACAATGGGTAACAGCACTCAATGTGACAAGTACAATACAGGAAGTGTCTGGTTTGTGCATGTCTTGGTAAACAACGATGAACATTGGCTGGCATGTAAAAATGATGAATTAAAACAAGATGAGCCAAAAAAAAAAGGTTCTTGTCAGCAATGAATGTTAGATTTATTTTTCTGATCTCAACATTGTAGATAGCACCCAGTTAATCACTGAGTCAGGGGATACCAAGACTGGGGAGGATATCCAAGTAGACACCATAATTGCTTGACTGCTTGCAGAGACTCAGCTAAAAATAGTCAAGGACTACCCTAAAGCCCCGACTTCTTATCAACACTGGAGGACTTTTGAATTGATACAAGGAGCCAAGAAGTTTGCACGTGTAGCTAAATTTAACCAGAGGACACACACTTTATGAGCAAGATGAAAATAAACCTTTATGAGCAAGATGAAAAATTAGCCGTTAAACCATGCTCTTACAAATTCACAACATGGGTTTTAAAACAAAAATAGCTTTTTGTTGATACTGTTAACTAGTTGGATCCAAGCTAAACTCCTTTCAAATTATAAACAAATAAAATACTTTTATGCCAATGCATAAAAGGACAGATTAGATAATCAAAATCTAAACTTGCATGATATCATTTTAATTATGACTATCACAAAGTCCATTTATTGAGAGATGACCCAGGATCAGAAAATGGATAAATAATATAAAACCAATAATGGATAAAGTTTTCTTTTTAGCTAAATAATTAAATCAGATAAATTAGACAATGAAAGAAAAGCTTTTCTACAAATTTAGAAACATGACATGGCACTCCTTAAAAGCGATTACTAAAGGCTAACTGAACACAGGAAAATTGATCTTCAAAACATTATGTGCAGAAAAAACATCCCTTCCTGTTGGTGGAAGTGTAGACTGTTAACAATGGAAAAGTTATTCTTCAAAGAACATCTGTGTGAAAACATCGAAATACTATACAATTGATGTTGGGAATGTTGCAGTAACCGTCTCAGAAAATGGAAGCAATGTCTATTTTCTATATTGTGTAACCTAAAAAAGTTGCAGAACATTAAACGTGAAATCGTTGTGCCCTTCATTTGGGGCTACAATTCTCTTACCTGAATTTCCCAACTGTTTGTAAAATCTGTACTCCAAATGGAGCTGTGGTGCCCTGGACTTTATGGGTTCCTACAAGAGAAAAACAGGGGAATGGTTAATAAACCAAATTTAATGCATAAAAAAAAAATATCAACTTACAATGCAAATTTGTATTCATTTTATTTGATCATTCATTAATGAAAAGAATATACAGCCTCACTTGTGAAAGGACAATAAATATACCCATTAAACACTTAAGTGACTTAGGGTTTAATGTATTGTTTGACTGAAGTCCTGGGCCAGATTGTGTGAAATGTGGTTGCATAAAAAGTATTTTAAGCTGCTCCATGGCAGGCTTTTGTGATGACATAGCAGATAGCCAACCCTACAAGCCCTCTGCTTCATTGTGTTGCCAGCTGACGCCCCGCAACCTAAAATGTAATCTGATTAGCCCCACTTTGGTGATGACAAGGGCATTTCAGACAAACCTGGGGAGGTTAGAACTAACACAATCAACTTAATTCCTTGCCCCTAATCTGCCTTAATCTTTAATATTCGACATGATTAATTCTACAGGAAGGATTCTGTAGGCCCTGTGGGTCAGTCAGAACAGTGGATGGGTTCACATACAGTACTCAATTGAATTCATTAAACGAATCATAACATTCTTGTGTCAACATGTGGCACATGCTTGACTTGAATCTAAAAAAAATAAAAAATAAGAAAATCAGACAAATTAGACCTAACATGTTAAATTATATATACATTTTTGAGGCACTCAGTAATCTGAAAGAAGGCTATTAAATGTTTTCTCACTTCAGTTACAGAATATCAGGTTTTTAAAAGATTTATGTCCATAGAAAAAAAAAACAGAAAATCATGGTGCAAAAATTTGAGCTTGTACTTTCCTACAGTTAGAAGTTCTACTAGAGCTGGACAATAAATTGAATTAATCAGATAATTCATGTTTTTAAAACTCCACTGTATGAAATTTTCCTAAATCGTAAAATCGAGGAAGTTTTTTCTTCTGCTTTTTATACTTGCGCGTTTGCTTCCACCTATTTCCTCCTTCCGCCCGATAGCATGCTGCACTGTTTACTCACGCCATGGCAGCGATAGAAAAAGGACTTGTGTTTCATTGATTATTTGGAAGTGGTTCAGCTTTGACAATGCTGATGTGGAGCAGACTACAGTATTGTGCAAATAAGTTGTTTCAGCATCTCTGGCAAAGGCAGCCCACAGAATGGGAGCAGCGCTCGCAGCTTAGGTAGCACGTTCACGAAAGGAAAAGACCACAAACCTTGGCCGCCTAATTTTTCTAAAGCGGTGCCATACGTATGTGTAGTGTACGGTGGAGGCAGATGATCAATGCTGTGGCTGTTCATATAGGGATGGAGATGGTGCCCATATACATAGTAGAGAAGCCTGGCTTCCTTCACATGCTAAAAGTGTGTGATGCAAAATGACACACTGAGTCGCAAAAATACTTTGCGGAGTTTGCGCTACCAAAACTGTAGAATGAAACACTATAAGCGCACTGTGAAAAGTTGAACTCTGCTTTGTTTTTGCAACTACTGCAGACATTTGGTTCAGTCGAACTCTTCAGCCATTCATGAGTGTAACTTTTAATTATATCGACATGAACTGGGCTCTCAACAGCTTCTGTTTACAAACTGCCTACTTCCCAGAAGATAAATACAGGTTATTGACAGTTCGATAAATTCTATATTTCAGCAAATTAAGCTTTTTTTTTTTTTCCACTTGTATAAATATATAGATGTAATTTGTACAATTATTGTTGGGGGAACATTTGTTTTACTTGCACAAAATTGATGTTATGAATTTTAAGTTTACATTTTATTTACAATACGTTTATGTTGGCTAAATATTTGTCACTTTGCACAATATATTTTAAAATACATACATGTAGTTTTTAATACTTCAAGTAAAATCGATTAAAACCATAATCATCCAAGATTACAAAAAAAAGAAAATAAAAACGAGATTTTATTTTTTTGTCATTTCGCTCAGCCCTAGGTTCTACCCATACAGATAACCAGAGAGATGCCTGCTAACAGTCTATTAGCACTTGATTTATTCTATACAGAGCCGAAGAGAAAGGGAGATGTTATTTGCCACAAGCTCCTTAAAATAATCGATTAACTGAAAAGGCGCTTCGATCTACAAATCTAAATTAGCACAAATATTCAAAAAGCTTTTTAATAGAATGGGGTCCCCCAGTTTTTATTTAAGAGTTGAATTTTTCCCACTGCTAATATTATATGGTTTTATTATATCAATACAGTTATACAGTTCTCTCTTCCTTTAGATTCATAATACCCAACAACCTCATATGGACCAGACTTAACTTCTGTAAATTGTGTTGCACAAAGACAATAAAAGGGGAAAAAGACTAAAGGGCTGGTTATACTCCCGCAGCAGTGTGTCGCAGTGAACTTGTTGCAGGTGTGACGCAGACATTTTTGATTCATGCCCAATTTTGAAGCGTGGTCTGCACTATGTTTATTCCACGCCACAACGTAAAGGGGAAAATCACGAACTAGCTGTGGTTCTAGATACGGCTGAGGCAGTGAGGAAGTGGGGGCAAGTTTGACAACGGAGGGACATGAGGGCGAAAAAGAGAGGGGATCCTCGCTCTAACTAGTCCATCTTCATGAGTTGTTTTCCCACAATGGAGGTCATACAAACAAAACAAGCCAGTAAGGTACCAAACAGGAAATATGCATAGTGTAGAGCGGAGGTAGAATTGACCAATCAGAGGCTTCCTGTCTGCGGTCACCTACAATTTGGGAGAGGTGCAGCAGAGTGTCTGCGGAGGGGGCGGGGACGTCTCTACCCACACTGCGACACCTACGCAGACGACCTAGTTTCGTAGTATAAATCAGCCTTAAGAGTGGAAGAGATCTCTGATAGGAGCCGCCAAAAAATGAGCTTCCTCTAGAGGTTGGCTGGACTGGAGAAAAGGTAAGGAAAGCCATCAGACACAGAGGGCTTAGAGCAGAGCTACTCCACATCAAAAGGAGCCTGTCTAGGTGGTTCCAGCATCTGAGTACTACACCCCAAAAGAGACTCCCTTCAGAGGCTCTCCAGGCATGTTCCACTTGGAATAGGCCCCAGTGGAGACCCAGGACTCCTTGGAGGGGCTATAAATAGGAGGGTTCCTAAATTCCGGCCCTCTGGGTCCGATGTCCTGCACCTTTTGGATGTGCTTCTGCTTCCACACACTTCAATCAAATGGCTAACATGACCTCCTCAGCAAGGAGTCAAGTTCTCCAGAGACCTGCTAATGACCTGATTATTTTGCCCAGGCGTGTTGAAACTAAGGCACAGCCAAAAGGTGCAGGAAACCAGACCTGGAATGAGGCTGGTTTTGAGGAACCTTACTACATAGCAAAAATATGCTGATGAAAAAAGGATGTCTGGGTTCTCTCTGTTATCTGTTGCCCCAGCAACCTGATCTCTGTATCATATCTGGATCAGGTTGCTGGGGACCAGGGAAGGATGCACTGATGGATTTTGGTAGACAAAATTATTGATAATCTACTACTTAAATTCTGGAATCATAAGGAAATAAGGGTTAAAGGTTAAAATACTTTATCTATTTATACTATGTATTTACACTTGTAGCTTCACTTTTTTCCATCTAGTAATGCTTCAACTAATATATACTGTCAAAATGTTTTGGCATAAAAAAATAATATGCTTGCATGAATAAATATTAACAGCATCATAATTGCTCAATTTACAGCTAAACTGTATTTCAAAGTTTATCCTTTTTGTTTTTTGGTTTCTATAAAGAGAAAAAAAAAAACGTTTGCCAAAACCATCTAACAGAATTCAAAGAAAATATGAATAAATAAAGAACAGCTCGACGAGTGTGTTTCTCTTAAATAAAAATTACCCCTAATTTACTTCTTATAATCAAGTTGGGTTTCACTTAAACTAAATACAATATTAACTCAATACAAAAATTATTTCAGAAATATTCTCTGATCTGATCATTTAGTCAAAACCGGAGACATCACGGCGAGCAGAAATACAACTACTGAAGCAACAATGAAGAAACTGAGTGGAAGACAAGAGGCGATAGAGAGGAGTGGAAGCCTGTGGGAGTGGAACACGTGACTGGCTAGGGAGGTGGAGTGGGGAACTGCTGCAGCGTCATCCAGCTCCCACATGAAAACAGATAAGCATGTCTCACACAAGTCAGGCCATAGTGAAGAGCAGTGAGACAGAAAATACTAAATATATAAATAATGACGGAGGAAAAAAAAGTAGGAAAAAAAACAGATGGCAGCAAGCTGCAGGACCCTTTACAACAGCTTACAATGGGAAACACAGGCTTATGGCAGCTCCATGTACTTAGGAGTCATCTTTATTCAGAGCAGATGGGCTAAGCTGTAGCTGTGTAAACGACCAGGGCCAAGCGGAGAGTGCCTGATGAAGCATTTTTTTTTTTTTCATCACCAAGGTTTTCCTGAGCCTCCATACATATAATTTAGTGCTCTTCCTTAAAATCTTGAATAAAGGAAGAACAATGTGTAAAAGGCTATGGTTCTTTGAATGAATGAATGACAGCATCAATATCTCCCAGGATTTCCTAACTCACTTACCATGGGGATGCTTTGGCGTCTACACTGAATAAATAAATTAGTGGAAGTAAGAAGCAAGCCATTAGTGGCTTCTTATTCAAACTGACAAAGAAAAAGCTCTACCAAATATAACAAATTTAAATAGCAGTATCTCTATATTACTGCGAATAAAAGGCGTAGAGATTTGATTAATGTTGCAGAAGTTGAAAAAAAAAAAAAAACAGAACCACATCCTGAGCAGCCTGACACTTATGAGATAAGATGTTATGTGTTTTCCTTTTTAAACTACTTTTATTTTGAAAGCCTTGGTGTCAGTTTCCATATTTCCACCTGAAGTAATATCTTTGATGACATGTGTATTTACAATATCATATATTTTACGATATATTGGTTTGGAAGGGCGTAATGAAGAGGAAATAAATACAGAATTTATTCCTTCTGGACTGGAGAAGAGGTAAGGATAGCCATCAGACACAG